AAACCCTTGGGCAACAAGTCGGGCTTTATATCTTACAATTTCATTTTTCTCATTGCGTTTACGCACAAATACCCCTTTAAAGCCTACCGGTTTTACGCCTTTTGGCGTATGGACTATCGGTCCAAAAACATCACGTTTTTCAAGTGATTTCAATTCAGCCTGAATTGCTTCATTCCATTTTGGCCAATCGTGTCGTTTCCGACATTCTTTTATTGATGTTGGCTCATTGTCATTGTTTTCATTCATAACATTTGTGGCAATGGCATAGACAAATATCTCATTAATATCAATATCTTTACGATTCCATTGCATTCCAGTAGAAACGTAGTTTATTGAAATTTCATAATTATCAACGTTTCTATCATTATCTGGAATATCTTCCTCATTTAAGGAAGTTGGATCATTATTTGAGATATTTGTTTTGTCAATATCATTTTCTATGCCAATATTTTCAAATTGTTCATTTTCTTGTTCAGAAGGATGAACATCTTTGGCATCACAGATCGATTCCTGCCTTTTAGTTTTTCTTGGTTTTATATCTTTCGATCCAAGTGGCCTGCCACGCTTTTTGCGTATAGAAGAATCATTTGCAAAAGATTTTTCAGAATTCTCTGTTGGGATTTCGATTCTGGCAGGGGCATTCATGGCAGGAATATGTGACTTTGTCACTTTCTTTGTGTCTGTGAATGCATCAGGCAACTGATTTGCAACATTTTGCAAATGGATTATCTTTTGCACCTCTTGCTCACATATATTTGATTTTGAGTCAAGATGTGATAATCCTGTTGCATTCCATGTTATTTCTTTCGTACTTGGATCCGATTTATTAGTTTCTCCCCCTAAGGTTGGGAATACTGTCTCATTGAAATGACAGTCAGCGAACCGTGCGGTGAATAAGTCACCAGTCATCGGTTCAAGATATTTGATTATTGAGGGAGATTCAAATCCGACATAAATTCCCAACCTTCTTTGAGGACCCATTTTTGTACGATAAGGTGGAGCAATCGGAACATAAACAACACAACCAAATATTTTAATGTGTGCTAAGTTTGGCTCTTGTCCAGTAACTAATTGCATTGGAGAATATTCATGATATGCAGTCGGTCTAAGCCGAATTAAATTTGCTGCATGTAAAATAGCATGTCCCCAAGCTGATGAAGGTAAATTACACTTCATTAATAATGGTCTAGCGATTAATTGTAATCGTTTAATCAAAGATTCAGCAAGACCATTTTGTGTATGGACATGAGCAACAGGATGCTCCACATCAATCCCAATCGACATACAATAGTCGTTAAATGATTGGGATGTAAATTCCCCTGCATTGTCAAGTCGGATTCTCTTTATATAATGATCCGGAAAATGAGCTCTTAAACGTATGATTTGAGCAAGGAGTTTAGCAAATGCTAAATTTCTAGTCGACAAAAGATTAACATGTGACCAACGTGTTGAAGCATCAATCAACACCATAAAATATCGAAATGGTCCACATGGTGGGGCTATTGGCCCACAAATATCTCCTTGAATCCTTTCTAAAAATGCAGGTGATTCAGTTGCAATTTTGTTCATTGAAGGCCTGATGATCATTTTGCCAAGAGAACAGGCCTTACAAGGAAAATCACTTGATACTGGAACCCTGATATTTTTTAATGGGTGTCCAAGTGAAGTCTTAATGATTTTATGTATCATTACTTGGCCTGGGTGACCTAAACGGTCATGCCACAACATGAATGTTTTCCGATCATCTAACTTTGTGTTAGAAACCAAATTTATTTCGAATGGACTAATATATGTGAAATATAGTCCTGAGGAATATGCTGGCATTTTTTCACAAAAATATTTAGCGCCAGATTTAATTGTCGTGAGACAAAGATATTCCTTTTGGTTTTCATTCATGGTTTCTATGTGATAACCATTTTGACGCATATCTTTAAAGCTCAATAAATTTCTCCGCGATTTGCTGGAGTATAAAGCGTCATTTATAATTATTTTTGTCCCATTAGGTAACATCACATATGCTTTCCCAGAGCCTTCAATGAGCTTCGCAACACCTGATATTGTATTGACTTCAGCTTCAACTAAAGTCATTTGAGAAAAATATATTTTATTTCTCAAAATGGTGTGCGTTGTGGCACTGTCTATCAGACATGGCTCTTTATCATTTGAATGATCCATATCTTCAATATATATAAATAAACATTAGCTTGATCACAAATTATGCATTTTATTTAACATAAGAGTACATACATTATACATATTTATTTAAAAACAAAATAAAAAGGGGAAGAAAGAAAAAGTACATAATTAAAACTAGTATTGTACAATATCAGGAGTCTACTATTTTATTTAGTAACATTTTGGTTTATAGCAAAAGCATCGTCCATAATGGCATCATCCGCGAAAAAGTTGGACACATCAAATTTTGGCAGAGGTGGAGTTGTGTCATTGACATAATTAACTTCCATATTTTTGCCTTTGTTTAAATTCATGGAAGCTTGAAATAACTCCACCAGATGTTTCGCAGTGCGACATTTATTAGCCCAGTGCCCCGTCATGCCACATTTATAACAAGTCGTCTTTACCGAGGTTTTGTAGGGCGATTTATTTGATGAGCTTTTTGTTTGCCCTTGCCCTTGTAATTCGGTCTTTCGACCCGTTTATATCCTCTGTAAGACTTGTTATTATGACCACTAAAATGCCCACGTTTAAAATGCCTTCTACTGCCACTGTGTGTTGCATTTGATTCAGTGGCTAAATTATGGCCAGATGGACCATAAATCGAAGGACTAGAACCGGTGGGTCTCAAATTGTGGTTTTTCATCAAAAGGTCATTGTTTTGCTCAGCTACCAATAATACTGATATTAAGTCAGAGTATTTTTTAAAACCCTTTTCTCTATATTGCTGTTGTAGCAGCATATTAGAGATATGCATAGTAGAAAAGGTTTTCTCCAACATATCAGCGTCAGTGACTTTTTGTCCACATAACTTTAATTTGGATGTTATTTGGAACATAGCAGAATTATAGTCACTGATAGATTTAAAGTCCTGAAATCTTAAATTGATCCAGTCATACTGAGCTTTTGGTAAAAGTACCTTTTGTTGGTGGTCATACCTCTCTTGTAAATTGTCCCATAATTCTTTTGGATCATCAACCAAAAGATATTCAGATTTGAGACTTTCATGGAGGTGGTGACGGAGGAAAATTATAGCTTTCGCTTTGTCTTGCGAAGATGACATATTATTGGCTTCAATGGTGTCTTCCAATCCATTTGCTTTTAAATGTGCCAAGGCATCCACTTTCCATTCAAGATTTTTTTGACCGGACAGATCAAGTACGTCGAATTCTCGTTTGCTAATGTTGGCCATAATATAACCATGGGCGGAGACAAGGGGTGGCCAACCTAGGCCATGGCCCACCCCAAATTTAAAAAATGGCTTAATTTTTAGTGTAAAAAATTCTGTTTAAATTTTTTTCCAAAAATATTCTTTGTACCGGCCCAGTCCGGCCCAGTGCCCTGGCTCCGCCCCTGAATATAACTACAAGGAATTTTTAATATCGGTCTAATGAGTCAAGTGTATATTTACATCAGCAAATACTTACCACTATATTAAATAAATAATGTAAAGTATGTTGAAATAAATTTTATATAAAGATTATACTAATTATAAAGTTTATCAACTTTATAAAATGGTTATGTGTCTAAAGTGATTGATATTTCATATTGTTAATGATTTATTATCAATAGTGTATGTCATCCGTAGGTATACACTTAAGCTACATGTATGCATGAATCCACGTGTCTCTATTTATTTTTTATTTTATTTTATTTTATTTTGTAATGTGAATAAATTTATACGGAGTATATTTGAACACATATACTTGCTAATATAGAGAGGTACGTGAGTTGCTTTGATAATAATCAAATATTATGTGACTACTTTAATTCATAAATTGAAATCAATTACTCTGTATGATTTTTGCATATCAAACTTATACTTATTTACATGTACTGAACTGTGTGAAGCCCGTGACTTAAGTTGTATTGTCGAAAAACAATTTTTCATTTTGTTATCTAGTCATTCATGTGCAGATCATTAAATAATAAAAAGACAAAACAACTTACTGATTGCATGCATGTAAAGTTGTATTTAACTACCCGTGATTTTTATGTCTACACATATATGCCTAGTATTCTGCATATCACCCATGTCCTCATATCACTTCTCCCCTTTATCAATCTGTTATATCTTCCTTACGGAGTTTCATCATTGTTGAGTATTATGATTTACATAGATAAGCTAGTCAATTTCGTCTTCTCCTACTAGAGCTTTATAAAATTGATTGAAGAAATCAAATTGTTCAGAGGTATGTTATCAATATTTTCTTTTATGATAGAAAATTTATTTAAAATAGAGAATAATTTTCATGTTTGAATACTAAAAGAAGATAATAAATATTGATGCTAATACCTGCAGGAGATGATTTCTTGGAGAGTTTTGAGCAAATTCGTGCTGATAACGTGTTGTAAAATGAAGAAGATGAAGACTAAATTTGAGAGATAGATAAATTAATAAAAACTCTAAATATCTTCTTCTTAATATATGAGAAGTTCTGAATTTCTGAATGAATTTACAATGCCTCATCAAGCTCCTATTTATACTGTTTGAACTTGATGATTAGTCACTTAAGGGATGAATCTACAGATTTGGTGGCAATAACAATTTGAGTCATCTGTTCTAACTAGGTTACAAGGATTAAACATAATTTCTGGATTGATGACAAGGATGAACAATTCACACTTGTCATTTCCAGGATTTTACAACAAATGTATAATTTTCCATTTGTTAGAGCCCTTTTTTCCCATAAATTAAAACTTCCCGTTTAGAGGGAAGATAGTGTATTTTTTACCACGACCTGTATTATTCTCGGATAGTTGTAATTTACCGCACCAAACCGCACAATAAATTCTGCCTCTAGGCGATTGCTATCTTTGCAAGGATTAACCCACACTTTAGCCGTCACAAACCCTAACATTCTTTCAATTTTCTTCGAGAGAGTTCCGAGCTCCTGAAGCAGCCGGCGATGTCGCACTTCGGCAGATCTGGCCCTCCGGATATCACAGATACATTCTCCCTCCTAGTTCTCAACATCACTTTCCGTAAGCGTTCAGTTCTCTATTTCCAAATAAGTTATTCGTGCTTCTTCAGTTGTTCCTCTCGTGAAATATCCAACACTTTGGTGTAATTTTGGACGAGTTGCTCCAGGTACCACCGCCGATGATTTGTATCCCCTCTTCGATAGGCATGGTAAAGTGGTGGACGTCTTCATCCCAAGAGACCGAAGGTTTATACATCTTTTTGTGCTCTTTTATTAGCGTATGCCTCTGGGAGTCTTATACTCCATAGAAGATATTTTCTCTTACCTCTCGAACGCAGATGCGTTTTTTATTTATGTTGGTTAAAATTTTAAAAAATCATTCCTTGTGAACCAGGATTTATTAGTAATCTAGATGCAGATTCTCTGCTACTTTCTAATACAGATGCTGTGGAATACGTTGCATGCAGGACTGGGGACTCGAGGGGTTTTGCTTTTGTTAGGTACAAATACCAGGATGAAGCCCAAAAGGCGGTAGAGAAACTTGATGGTAAGTTGTGGTTTAAATATTAATAGATTAAAGAAGTAACTTCGTTCCTCGAATTTATGAGTGTTCGTTATTGTAATTTTCTGGTTGTATTGATGTGTAGGGAAGCTTGTTGATGGAAGAGAAATAATGGTCCAGTTTGCAAAGTATGGACCCAATGCTGAAAGGATGTAAGGAAGTTTTAACAATTTCAAGTTCTTATTCGATTGGTCTACACCTTTTTCATATATTAATGTTTCATTGTAACTTAAATAATTAAGAATATTTTTTTCCATTCCAGTCACAAGGGAAGAATTGAAGAGCCTGTATTCAAGACACGAGGACGGTCACGGAGCTTCAGTCCCAAGCCAAGGTAATTCCTCCTCGTTTTTCTCCACAACGATTATGCCCTGTTTATATACAGAGTAAAATTTATACTCTGTAATACTATAAAGCCAACCTGTCATCCCGTAATTGTTATCTTAGTCAAAACAATCATTTTACAATTACATTATACACCATCTTGATTCTTATGAAGGAATCTTATGAAGTTTTTTCTGAATTGTTGAATTAGTCAAGATCCCTCTATGGCTCTATTAAAGTTGAAATAGTATTGGACTATTAGTGCAATGTTCTCTTGCATATTCATTTTTCACCAAAAGAAAGATTGCTTTTGAAGCAAGTCTATTCTTTTTCATGGATATGATTTTCTACCACATGAGTTCTTTTTTCAACAACGGTTGCAATTATAAAGATTAAGATAGCTCCACGATTCATTATCTATATCATCCATTTCTCCTATCCTGTTATCCTTTGAACTGGTATCACAGGTACAAAGATCACCATAGCAGTGGGCGGGATTATAGGAGGAGAAGCAGGAGTCGGAGTAGAGGAAGGTATGAGCGTGATCGTTACCGTGGTAGGGAAAGAGACTATCATTACCGCAGCCGAAGCCGCAGCGCTAGTCCTGATAATCGCAAATATCGTGGTAGAGGAAAATATGATGATGAGAGGCGCAGTATGACTCCTTCTGACAGAAGGTAGGCTCGGGATTTATTCAACATTTTTTTACATTTGTTATATTTGCTCGGGATTTGTCCCTTTTGGTTTATCTGCATTTTCTGCTTAACAACCAAACAAAGCTCACCAGACAAGCATGAACACCTTTTCTCTATCAAGCTTGTCTCACCTTTTTGTTCCATGTTGAAGTGTCTCTCCGGTTAGGCGTAGCCTAAGTCCAAGGAGGAGTCCATCTCCCAGGATCTCTCCAAAGGAAAGAAGCCCAATTGCAGCGAATCACAATGAACGTTCTCTCACTCCAAAAAGTGTGTCACCCCGTGGACGTCGGGCTGATTCTCGTAGTCCATCTCCTCGTTATGAAGCTGATGTAAGTTTTGGAAATCCAAATAGGTGTTTATTATAGTAAGATTAATTTTGCAAAATTCTTATAGTTTTTTTCGTTGCAGGAATGAGAAATGGAAGTCTAGTTGATGGTTCTCCCCACACAGATGTTGGTTCTGCCCCAGTCTCATTATTGTAGAAGTGGGCACTCTCTCAGACCATCACCACCACCATTTAGTGCTTTCTAGAATTTGTTTGCCGAACTTTATTTTGGAAGGTTTAACTCTATTATTGTACTTGATGCGTTTCAATACTGTCCTTACAAAACATGCATACTTTTCCGTGGATTGGGGACTAGTTTTGTCTGCCTTTAATGTAGAGTTGTGGCTACATCATTACTACTTCTTTTAAAAGTAATATATGCAGTCTAAATTTTGCCTGGGTGTGTTTGGGAGGGGATATGAGTTCTCTTGAGTAATCATTAACTATCTGCTGGTCTTAAATAGTTATGTGCGGAGGTGTTGATGTGGCTGACTGGCAAGACGAAGTAGCAGTAGCATGTTGGTGCTGTTTTTACTTTGCTGTTGGTTAGCATGTTTTTTGTTGCTGGCAAACTCCCACTAATCAACTTTACTCGCTTGCCAGGGATGGTAAGGATTTGCAACTTGCTGACTTCAACTAGGGATTAGTTCTTTTTAATTGCAAATGGAATTAAATATTGGCTATGATTTTACTTCCTTAAGTGGTTGGATGAGGGTTGTACTGTTCAACTCTTAATTTTATGCTATAAATAAGTGCAGTAGGGTAAAAATAATTCTAATGGTAGTTGTACTATGTTACAGCATGAGTTCGCGGCTGTAGCTGTGATGTGATAGTAGCTGATGTGTCTTGTAGATTGATTGTTGGTTGCTGAAATGCTGTTTACCCTCCCTTGCTGCCTACTAGCTATATGCAGCAATCTGATGGTCCACTTTTTTTTTGCGGTTGATGATATGGTTTGGTTGATATGGGGTTGATTGTTGCTGAAATGCTTTGCTGCCCAATCCCGTGGATTCTTCACCATGTTTTGCAGGCCTTAGTTTTTATTTAGGACGTGAGTTATGAGTAGGTGAACTCTTGATATGAAGATAAGACATTACTAGGTGAAAATGACTTAAAACTGTTCAATATTCATTCATACCTAAAATTGCAATCGTTACCAAAGTTCCTAGGATTTGTTGACAAGGTCTACTGATTTGTTTATTTTCCGGTAGAGCTTAAATATCACAATGTCATCTTGCTTGTAGGAGATCTGTAAAATATTGGTAAATGTGCTTTGTCTTGAATGTGTGCATATACATGGACATTAGGACATAAATATAATATAGTATATGGTTAGTTCTAATAGGAAGACATTTATGAGAAGACATCTGTTATTCAATGCACATTTATCCGTAGAAAAGCCCGAGTGAATTATGAAATGACATCATGTCACATTGTCACGTGTCATTTTTGAACATTTTTTGCATTCTTCGGCTTCATTTACTAACCTACAAATTAATCCTAGCCATTCATTTAGACTATACAGTGTGCTTCATTTTAGATTAGATAGTTATAACTCTTTCACAATGATTTTCACATTTATAAGTCGTGTGCTTCATTTTAGATTTTAATTGATTCTCCATCTTTATCTCAATCTCCATCTTTATCTCAATCTCCATCTCAAATTTAATAGAACTGAATTTGACTAGTGTTCATTAATTCAAATGCCATGGATTTTGGCACCACCACGGAGGCACGGAATCCAGATTTTTTCCCATATCAATTCATCAATTACTGTTTACGCAAAGTTTTTGTAGTTTTAGTTTCTAAAAATTAGTGTATGTGAAGATGTTTTGATGTCAATTCATGCAATTTCGTATTTACATGAAGGTTGTATACCTTTAGCATGTAAAATATACGGAGTAGTAGAGTAGTATTTTTGTCATTTAGAGATTTTTTTTATCTACCAGACCTCATGATTTTCATATGCATGTCACTTTCATATGCATGTCACTTGAGTTTAGAATTTCCATATGATGTCATGATTAGGAATGGATTTGGGCCGGGTCGGGCCGCCGGTTCGTATCAGATGGGCCCGGGACCGGCCCGAGGGTTGGATGGGTCCGGTTCGGGCAGGGCCACCCGCCCGGGTCATGGGTCGGGCCACCCGTCGGGCCGGGCCGGTTAAATATTTTTTTTTTAATTTATATTTTATACTTTATAGTTTTATAAAAGTATTAAAAACAAACTTTAAGTGCATTTATTTGAAATGAAATAGGAACTACATTTGAAAATTAAATAGGAACTATAATTGTTTTTAATCGGAATCTCCGGCATAGGTAGAGTCACCCTCTGTAGATTCATCCATAAAGTGTTGGGATGGAGTGATGTCAATTTTTTGAGCTCTACGTGCTTTCAACCAATCATGGTAGCATCTAAGCATCTCAAGAGATTCAGCGCTCAACCTCGTTCTGGTTTATGTTAGAACATTGCCGGCCGAACTAAATTCTTGTTCCACGGCAACCGTTGAAATCGGCATTGATAGCACTTGCTTAGTCATCTTTGCTAAAATCGGGAATATTCTTTCTTTTCCCTTCCACCAGTTTAGTACGTCTAAATCATCATCTTCTTCAAAATCAACATCATAAGTTAAATACAAAGAAATCTCATTAATTGTGCTTTGTTGTGTAGCGGGAGTTGATTTTGTTTTTTTAATAAGATTGACAAACGTAGATTTGAAAATTGATTTTCCTTTAGATGATGTTTGTGTCGGGGGAGGGGGCGCATTGCCATATTGTGCATGAAACTCATTGAATAATGCATAAAATATATCACTAACCTCGTTGTATTCTTTTTTCGGATCAATTGGGTTGTCCTCATACATTGGCAATGGACCAAAAAAAGCAGCATAATAATAAATCAAACATTCTTCTAAAGAATCAAGTCTAAAACGAGGATCGAGAACAAATGCAATACCATAAATATGCGGAATATGTGAATAATATTTTAAAAACTTTTCCTTCGTAAAACCAGCAAAATAACTCACATAATCAGCATTCTCAAAATTTGAAAAAGCACCGGTGAGATTAACAGCTTCACGAATAAATTGGTTTGAGGTAGGTTTATAAACATGACTAAAAGTTTCAGTTGCATTATTAAAATATATCAAAGCATTACAAATTTTTTCACAGGTGTCGATCTCAGTCGAGTTTATAATATAGTTATCATATTGTTTCATAAAAGCAGGAAAATGTTGTTTATATCTAAGAAGAACTCCAATTAACTTATAGGTACTATTCTAACGAATAGACAAATCTTTTGAAAAAGCCATATATGTCTCACCTCTTTCTATCAAATAATCATGCCATTTTTTCCTAAGGTGTCCATTACTCCAAATACGTCTAATCCCCCCCTTGACTACCTCCAACGATGCTCCCAACGCTTTTAGACCATCTTGCACACATAAATTTAGAACATGACATGCACATCGTTGATGAAAAAATCTACCCATCAAAGAAGTAGAACCACACAATTCACGCAATCTAGGAATAGCAGCAGTATTATTAGTAGCATGATCAAAACCAATAGCAAACACCTTATCAATTAAATTATACTCAATTAAAATACGTTCAATCAAAATATAAATATGTTCAGCGGTGTGACGATCATTAAATTCACGGAAAGCAAGAACACGTTTATGCACATGCCAATCATTATCAATATAATGTACAGTCAGACCCAAATAATGTAAATTATGATAAGTATCCTCCCATATGTCAGAATGTAGCAATTAATAAAAAATTGTAAAAAACTAATTAACTATTTATCTAACTATTAAACAAGAGTCAAATGTAGCAAATTAACTAGTAATTAAACAAGTGTAAATAATAGAATAATTTCGTACCTCTTTCGGACTTTCGGTCTTTCGGATGAAAGCAATAGAATGACTTCAAATTAATTAGATATAATTCCAACTATATTAATAGATATAATAAATATATAAGTAATATATAATTAGATAACAAATATAAGTAATATAATACTATTTATATCTATTTATAGTTTATATAAGTAGATAATTAATATAAACTATAAATAATAAATATAATATATTAGAGAATGGAGAATAAGAGAATTAGAGAGTAGAGAGTTAAGAATAAGATTTAGGAAGAATTGGAGAAGAGATATGAAAAAATGTTTAAGATTAGGAGTATTTATAGGTTTTTTTACCCCCCACCCCCCACCACCCCCCCCACCACCCCCCCACCAGCCAACCCCCCCGGACCCCCCCTTTACCCCACCCAACGGCTATATAGCCGTTTGGGTTGTCCCCAGCCCCACCCCCAACGGCTAGTAGGAGCCCAAACCAATTTTTTTTTTTAAAATAGACCCGGACCCGGGCCCGGGCCCGACCCGACCGGGCCGGGTCACAAAAAACCAGAACCGAGCCCGCCCCGCCCCTTCCCATCGGTTCAGGTCCATACCCGGTCCCGGACCGCCCGACCGGGCCGGTCCCGGGCCCGCACAGTACCGGGCCGGGCCGGGTCACGGGCCGGGTGGCCCGAACCGAATCCATCCCTAGTCATGATGATAAGATGCATCATATGGTCTAAATGTCTAATGGTCCCCTAAGATGTAGATGTCATCTATCTGAAATGTAATATATGAACTTCTAAAAATGCACAGGTGATAATGATAAAATGCAACATATGAGCTTCAAAATTATGAATGCATATGTCTGATGGAGTATATGACCTGAGGACTCTCGGCCCACATTCTCTTGCAGCCTCAAACGGGCTTGATAAAGCCCAGACGTTCCAAATACAATAACACAAGCACCATGCAGCCCATCTCATAGGGGATGCCTTCGACACCGAAGGCTTCACACTCAGGGACACCATTCCATTTCGGTCCAATCGCACGCCTGGAAACTTGGGTCTCGAGCATCAGTTTTTGACCCTGGCTTCGAAAGGCCTCCATTCTTGACAGAAACTCCTTTGCTTAGTGCATTAGTGTGGGCATTATTTATACTAGTCACAAATGTTAGGTTCATTAAATGCACGCACACGTGTAAGTTAGTCTATTACTTTATTTAGGCTATCATGATATCATCAATCCAAGGAATTATCATGTCCGCCACTTTCCTTGAATACATTGCTTATATTTAATTGAATGGTTATTAATCAGTGGAAAGGTGACCCACATAAATTTAGGGAAGAGGTTTTCAAGATTACATTAATAGCTTTGTAATTAATTTGCATACGTTAGCGGGTCTTAATAATTTAATCAACTCCATTTCAACTCATCAATACTATGGTGGGTGTCATACGGATGGCCATCCATATAATGCAAATGGAGAGTCTAGATTAGTTTGTAGTTTGCATCGGAAGTGGGATTTGTACGTGATCACCCCCTTCCCCCACACACATATATACTCCCTCGTCTTATAAATTCTTCCCACTTTCCTATTTGGATCGTCCCAAAAAAATCTTCCTACTTACTTTTTTGGTCAATTTGTGTGGTTTACATTCATTTCACTTTTTCCCTTACACAACTACAAGTCTACAACCATATAGGGATGGACTAAACCGGGCCGGCCTGCCCTGAACTGGCCCGGCCCGCTACTGTGCGGGCCTGGACCGGATCGGGACCGGTTGGCCGGTTCCGGGCTTTTAGCCCGTTTGGGCGGGTCGGGCGGGCTGGCCCCGGGTCAATTTTTGTTTTTTTTCAATTTTTTTTCTTTTCCTAGGGTAGGGCTGGGTGTTTTGGGGAGGTTTGGGGGTGGGGGGTGAGTGGGGGGGGGGGGGGGGAGTCGGGGGATAACAAGAAAGCAAAAAAAATTAGACATTGAACCGGGCCCGGCCCGGCCCGATCCGGTTAGGCCCGGACCCGGTATCAACCCGGGCCGGTTCCGGGCCCAAGGATTTGCAAAAAAAGCCCGCCCGGGCCCGGCCTGGAACCGGAACCGGACCGGCCCGGGTCCAAATCTACAACCATGCATTTTCATTTTATTCCACTTTCTTAATATGTGTGCCAAGTCAAACTGGGAAGATTTTTCTGGGACGGAGAGTATATATATATAGAGAGAGTACTCTTCCAGTCAGGAATTCTTGAACGGAACCGCCGTTCGGACGACGGAATTTGGGGCCTTTCCCATCTAGTATGAAAGTTTTATGACATGTTCTCCATCACGTCTCGTTCATCGACAAAAAATTTCAGCTAAAAATTCAATCGGGAAAGTACTCAAATAATTTTTGTAAGGTAACTGCCCCAAAATTTACATATAAAGTGCAGTTAACTTTCAAAAATTATTTTACAACCTTCCTGATTGAATTTTTATCTGAATTTTTTGTGGATTAACTAGACTTGATGATGAACATGTCATAAAATTTCATCAAAAAAATCGACCGGAAAGAGGCCGAAACGTAGTCGTTTGGACGGCGGTTCCTGTTCGGAATTCCGGACAGGAATATTTCTCTATATATATGTGTGTGTATGTATGTATGTAATCTTATAAAAAAAATATGTATGTAATTATTTCTTACTTTAATAAATAAAATAATATACTTTAAAAATTGGATCTGTTCGATTCAGCTTTTAGAGGTGAAATCCAAAATCCATTACAAACAACTGTGATTTGGTTCGTTTTTTTAATTTATTTTTATTTTTTTGCGGTTTGATTTATTTTATTCGTGGTTTGAACTTTGTCGATTTGATTTGAGGTTATGATTTTAATCGAAATTGAGTTAATTAGTTTTTAACTTCGGTGATTCATGTAAATATTTTGATGATAGATCTAGGCGTGAGTTCGTTTTGACAGATCCAAAAGGAAACATTTCGTTTTTAAAAAGATAATTATATTTAGAGAGAATTTCTACAATAGGACTAAAAGATGAGACAATTGCAAAAACAGAACCTATTGTTTTAATTTTCCTAAATAAGACTAAAAAATTGTATTTGGACATGAATAACCTTAATGAAACTGACGTAATATTTTATGCGCATCTCATCCTCCAGACATGTGCCGCAGCCATCACCCAAACATGTGCGGCAACATCTTCCAGTGTCTCAACTGGGTATCCTCCAACAAGTTCGCCGCCACCATCCTCGACGAAGCCACCGTTCTCCGACAAGTCCCTGCAACCTCCATCGAGAATGCCACTTGATATGCGATAATGCCACTTGGTATGCATAATGACACAATAATGACAATTTCGTACAGAATCATGGCATTCTCAATATGGTAATTTTAAATACTGTAATGACATAAAAGAGACATTTTTCAAATAATCATTAATTATGACATTTTCTGATTCAACAAGTGTCATTTTTTGAGAATCATTAGTCAGGACATTTTGAGGTTCAAATTAATCAAAAGTGATAAGAAGAAATTCAAGTTGAGTTATATCCTATTACTTGTCCTGTTTGGAAATCTAGCTCTTCATTTGAGTAATAAAATTACATCTTTATAAAGTGACTAGCATTAAAATGACACTATTTTGTCAAACGGGCCAAAAACATGACATTTCATATATTTTAATTTCAAGGTGATCTTGTCAGTTTAATATATTTGTTACATTTTTTCAATTCAATTTTAAATAGTTATGAAATTTTCAAATTCAAAAATAATAAAATAAATTAAAAATCCAATATTTTTTTGAACACTTGTTGCTCAAAACTTGTTCAATTCCCGTCCCCTCCAACCTTATTCAATTGCCATCCAATTTATTAGATCTAATTGAATCCCAAGAGACAAAAACAGAGCACGACCAAGAAGGAAGTGGAAGAGAAAGAAGAGAGGAAAAAAGATGAGATGAGAAGAGAAGATAGAAGTAGAAGAAGAAATTACTTGATTCCATGGGAAAAATTGCAGAAGGCTGGCCGAGATGGAGAAGTCTGGTGGTTGCTATGGCTGCGGTACCGATGAGCGGCGGATATAATTGTTGTACCGACGAGCAACGGCATCAGCGATGGATGAATGGAAAATCGCTGGTGAACTTGTCGTGACGTCTCTGATGAGGAAGGAGTAGACAACGGCTCCTAAACCGGGAAGATGAAGATCGCTAATTTCTAATATGTCGGAGGCGGTGATGTTGGATTGAATTAGGGGAAGGGCAAAAATGTAATCTGAAGTCTTAGGGATAAATAAACTTATACTCCTATTTTGGAGTTTTGCCAATGTTTTAGTCCCATTTTGTACAATTTCTTTTATATTTAAAGCTTATCGCCCATGTTTTGGAGTTTGGACTATGAAAGTTTACAATTTGAGTTAGTGGTAATTACCCAAAGAGTCCAATTTTGTGCTTTGTATTTCATTTATGTCCACCTACATATTATTTTTCATATGTAACTTTCAACCTTTCAATTTAGTTTCTTTATTTCAAAAAGAGAAAACATTAAACACAATTAAATCCAAAAAAATCTGGCTCTGCATCGTCCTCCGTCTTCATCTCTGGGAAGCTTCGCGTCTATCCATCTGCCATACGTTTCGATCAATTTCCAACCGCCTTACTCATAGACTTCACCTTAAATTCGTTGCTGCTGCTCTCTCAACCGATCTCAACTTGTATTTTGAGATCCCTAATTCGATCCTCGAACAAATGCCGACTTTGAGGGTTCCCGACATCGTTTTTCCACTACAACTTGTTCCATTCGTTCACGTATATCGTCACAACAATTGATAATAATGAACTGTCAATTCATTTTACAATTTCTGAAGCGGATCACAAGGGATTGGGTGGAGAAAATACTAAAGCTGTGACCTAGTTCTTACATTTGTGAGGTAAGTTTTCTTTTTGTGAAGTTTTCAAGTTGATCGTGACACTTGTGATTTGTTTTGACTATAGAGATGGAAAAAAATGTTCACCAAGCAAACAAGCACAAAATGGTCAAGTATACTTTTGATACACAAACACTCGCATACATGCATATATATGTCCGTATCAATGTATATATGTTAACAAATGTTTCTCCCCTGAAAACGAGAATCTATAAAAACTGTTCATATTATTGCAATGAATAATATTTAGTCAATGAGCATTTTAGTAGTCAACTGCAATTTAATGTCATAAAATCCATAGGCATTCTATGCACCCAGTGTGTATTGTCCTTTAGATTTTCAAAGACGAATGCACTATGTGGGTGTGTATTCACGTTAAGATTGTTCTAGTGCTAGTAATTAGAGTTATATTTTGGGATTTCAGCTCACAAATTGGTCTT